AGTCAATAATTTGTAACGGTAATTAATTACTTTTTGAAAGAGAAAAACTATAACTGTAATTAATTACTTTTACAAAGTAACTTTCCCATCCCTGGTTAATATGTATCTTGTTTAATTAATATTATTATTTAGAATAATTAAATTGATGTGAGTATAGAAAAAGGATGAGTCTAATTTAATTTAAAAATAAATTTTTTTTTATTAAATTTGAAATAGATACATAGGTATTCCTTTAGTGTAAATAGAACATCATTCCAGACTAAGGACCTAAAGTAAACATTGAAGATGTACAATAAGTACAGAAAGCTCAGTATATACATATATACTCGTCTCCTTTGAAAAAATTGGAATCATCCTAGAATATCAAAGAATATTTTTTAATGAGGTTTTTGAATGGCCAACAATTAAGTTTGAAAAACAATAGAAGAAATATTTTAATAGTCAGTGTTTTTAAAGTATTTTTTGTAAATTATCACACAATTATTTAACATAAAGAGAAGTAATTGTTTAACATAGTTTAAGATAAACTAACGTATTTCAATAATATATTATCAAATTTTTTGTTTTTTTATCATCAACGTTGAGTGCAGAAAAAGCATATATCAGTCCAAATTTGAAAGTCAAGCTTTTTTTATTTAATAGACAACATTCAAGAAATCAGCAATGTAAGATTCAAGAAATCAACAATTTAAAAAATACTATTAAATGTCATATTTAAATTCCCAATAGTAATTCTGTTAGTTTTTCCACTAAAATTAAACAGGTTTTTATTGAAATTGAAGAATTTGATAAATGTGATTTATTCCCTTTTCGCACACACTGATTCAGTTAGAAATATCTTAAATTATGGGAAAATATTAGTTTTGAAAATTTAAAATTATTAGTATAGATAATTAATATAATTAAATAACGAGTTTTATGTAATTTAAAAAAAACGCATGTCTCGAAACCGTCATATTTTTTTTATCTTGGAATAATTTTAGATTTTAACCATAAATTATAGTTAACAGTTAATTTATATTAATCGTTAATTTCAGATGACTGAGATGCAAACGGTAGGCAATGTTTCCAGCAAAGTATTCACTGGTTATCTCCGTGCTGGTGGCAACTGGTGCGTTATATTCATAGTAACCATGCTTAGCGTAGCGACACAATTAGCGGCTAGCGGCAGTGATTTCTTTCTTGCGAATTGGGTTAATAAAGAAAGACTTCATGTAAGTGTGTCACTAGACACTAAGTGTTGTTAAAATGATCGGCGAATTGAGGGTGTAATCGCTTTTGCAAGAGATTCGAGAAGTGTAAAATTTTACAACAAAGAGTACTTTAGTAATATTTTTTACGTTAGGTTTCAAATAGGTACTTTTTATGTAGATGAAGCAAATAATATACTTATTGATATAAATTGTTATATTAAAAATAATATAGTTAATATTTAGTTTATCATGTCATTTTTAATCCCAGCTTTGCTCAAAATTTTGAAGTTTGTGTTAATTTTAATTTAAAAAAAGAGGATTTAAAGGAATCATTGTTATTATTATAAAGAATAAAGTTATAAATTTTAATAACTTAGCTCCATTAAATTAGCTTATTACTAAATCAAAATTTCGATGCTTTAAAATTAAACCACGAAACATTCGAAGATAATTTTGTTCTTAAAGAACGTATGAGAAGAAAAATGTTCCTGTAGAAAGATTGCAGAGAAACATGAGTTTTATGTCGAACTTAAAATTTAAAACTTGCAACTACACGGAGAGAATTTTTTCTTAGAACTTACCCTGAAAATATAACAATCGTGGGACAACATTGTATCTCGAAGAATTTTAATATAATCTCTCTCATTCATTAATAAAACTACAATAAAGTATAAAATAAGTTTGATCAATTTTACTGAAGTGCATGGTAAAAATCTTTAAAATATTGTATTGTACCACAATCACCATATTTTCAGGGTAAATTTTAAAAGAAAATTCACTCCGTGTACAATTATTTTTCTTTCCACATTAAAAATATATTATTAATTACGTATACAATTCCTAGATTAATCAAACGGAAGATGGCATTGTGGAAGACGTTCCCCTAAGAAGTTCCCTTACTCGCATGGAGTACATCTACATCTACAGTGGTCTAATTGTGCTGACAATCGGCATCACCCTTATCCGCTCATGGGCTTTCTTTTGGATGTGCTTGCGGGCCTCAATACGCTTGCACGATCGTATGTTTCGCAGCATTAGTCGCGCCACTATGCGATTCTTCAATACCAACACGTCGGGACGTATACTCAATCGCTTCTCCAAGGACATAGGCGCGGTAGACGAAATGCTGCCTATCGCGTTTATCGATTCTATCCAGATCGGTATGTCGCTGGTAACCGCCATCATCGTGATCGCTATCGCAAACGTGTGGCTGCTGATACCTACGGTGATTGCCAGTATTGTCTTTTATTACCTGAGAATCTTTTATCTGGCCACTAGTTATAGCGTTAAGCGTCTCGAAAGCTTCAGTAAGTATTTTTAGCTTGTCTTTCTAGAATAGAGACAGCTTCCTCGATAGAATAAGATAGATTCGATCGCAGATTGAAGTCAAGTCTCTTGAATTGACGATGGATGTCAATTCTTCAGCTAAAGTGAGTGGAACTTATAACTTTCTTTAGCCCGTTCGCCGATCTTCGCTCACTTGAACGCGACTCTTCGAGGACTACCGACGATCCGTGCGTTTGGAATGGAAGCGACTCTCACGAAGGAGTTCGATAATTATCAGGATATCCATTCGTCCGCGTGGTACATCTTCATTGCATCCTCCCGCGCCTTTGCCTTCTGGGTGGATGCTTTTTGCTTGCTATATATCACGCTGGTCACACTGAGCTTCCTTGTGATGGACAACGGCTTTATGTATGGCGGATACGTAGGCCTAGCAATCACGCAGAGTATCAATCTTACTGGTAGATTACACTGGTGCATGCGTCAGAGCACCGAGGTGGAGAACCAGATGGCCTCGGTGGAGCGTATCCTTGAATACAAGTACTCGCTTATTCTTTATATATCTTCATATTGTGTTTGTATTAATTATGTATCAATTATCTTTATTAATTGTCTTATTTTATTGAAATATGAGTTACCACTTATTTTATATTATTTCAATTACAATTTTCAATGTATTGAAACTTTTTTTAAGTAAGCACAATATTTAATTATCTACCGATTTAGTGATCTACTTACATTATGAATTTCATACTCAAATACAACATTATTCCATTACTGACCGCGTATTATAAATTCTTAAATTCCTAAATTTCTTAAATTTCTTTAAACCTTGAAATTTTAGATCTTGTAGCGTCCAATTTCTAAATTTTTTCTAATTCTTGATTTTAATTTTTTGGATATTTTTATTATCCAAGTTTTATAATATTTTATTGTCAATATTTTTTCGTCTATCTAGAATCTAGATGAACAAATTTGTAAGTTTTATGAAAAATTGCAGATATTTCTAAAGCAGTCTAATTTCTTTAGATTATTAAAGTAACGTTTAATTTATATTTTCTGCTTCGATCTTTTTCCAGCGGTGTGGACAGCGAGCCTCC